TTTATGAATATCTATATCGATCGAAGATATTTTTACGCTATTCGACTTTTAAAAAATAACCTTAGAAAGAAAAAAATATATAGTTTAATAAAATAGGCAAAATATATATCCGCGATAAATATCGATATTCACACTTAAGATGGCCGAAAAGATGAAATTCTACTGAGTTAATATTTTATCGATAGCAATGGTCAAAGAAAAGAACAGTAAATGAAAGAAAAAGAGCAAAGATCAGTAGCTTTTAAATTTCGACAATCGTCTTATTTGAAGAAGAATCAAACTTTGAATCTAATTAAATCAACGATTTTCGTATTTTAGATTGCATTAAAAAAAAAAATAAAAAGGTTATGTTGTCTGAATCTTTTTCTCATCATTTTCTTTTGTGTTCAAAATTTTATATGCATATATGAAATAAATAAGTAGCACTATATCATATTTAATATTATTTTATTTCAGAAAAATATGAAAATTATGATTGTAATATTTTCATTAACAATAGTTAGAAAAATTGTACTGTGTACGTTGATATTGTTTAAGTTGGATAGTATTTCAGTTAACCGTCGAGCATAATGTGTCGCTTAATCGCTTCACTAGTTCCAAAGGAAGATTACGCCTAATAATAGAGATAAAATTTTCACTTATTCTGGACTTTAGTTTCATTTATTTTGAGAATATTATATATCATTTTCATAAATTTATTTTCGAATATTCATCAATACCGATTTATTTGTTAACAATTGGTAAATTTTAATCTTGTCCACAACCGAGCTGCATCATCGAGAATCTGAACCAGCAAACCTGACCTATTGAAACTCGATAATGGCGCCCTATCGATTCCAGCTCGAAGAGAAATTGAATTCGCTTTGGTCGAGCTTCGATTATTGAAATACAGTAGTATTCGCTTAAATTCTAATGTAACGCATTGTAATTCTTTCGAAATGGGTAGCGATTTTATTTCAAAAATACATCTGAGTTCGAATCTCTTAAGTAAAATTAATAAGTATAATGGAAAGAAGCTAGAAAAACAGATTAAATTACACACGATCGAATTGTAAAAATTTAAATTTCTATAATCTTTATTTTATTTTTTTAAAAATTACTAAATTATTATTAATTACCAGTGAAAATTTATTCTCATTAATATTATCGTAAAATCAAATTAAATCAATTATTTTTAATAATTTTTAATAATTTTCACCTTGAATCTAACATCTTCACCATGTAAATTCTTTTCGATTTACTCAAAAAATAAATCCATGAAATCTCATTTTCATCGAATTATTTCGCTTGGAATTTAATTAAAAATACCGCAAAGTCAAACTTTTGATTGATTCAACCTAACCTCTTCGCCACGTAAATTCCTTTTAAGTTCGTTCGAAAAATATCCAAGCTTCGAAATTTCATTCTATAAAATAAATATAAAACGATAATTCCCTTTTTTCGAAAACAAACAGCTTCTGTGCTACAAATAACAAATGTGGCATCGATTTTCATAGCAGAGCTTTTCTCTCCACATATAGAGAGGTCAAAGAAGAGGGAGACAGAGCGATGTCAGTTTGTAGGTTCAGGTTCAAGGTCGCAAGAGCAGGAAGCGGAATATGTGTGCGTGTAAACATGTATACCGGATATAGCGAATAGTGGACGAGGAGGAAACCCGGTCGATGGTGGAAAAACCTCTCTTTCTTCCACTTTTCCAACAACGAGTGGTGCAGCGCCACCTCGGCCACCTGCCATGCCAACCGCCCCTCTCCTGGCGCCTCCAGTCTCCTCGTCTCGATTTCTGTCGTTTTGCCTTCTTCGTTCCAACTCTCGTCGCGATTCGAACAATTTTAAGCCTGTGGACAAGCACTTGACAGCCATGCGCACTCTCTACTTTGCTACGGCTTCGTTCGCTTCAATGGCATTTAATAAAGAATATAACACTGACTCTACTGTTCTTTTTTTGAAATCTTAAAAAAGAATTCTCATCAGGATTTCTATATTTAATATTCTGGATTCATTTTACTCAAAATGTTTATTCTGTTAAATATTCTGTATACATTAGTTTCACATATCATTGGATAGTATATAAAAATATACTAATTGTATATTTAATTAATTATAAGAAAATTAGATACAAAGTTTATAAACATCGTATAATCATATACGTATATGTTAGAATAATAAGATATCTTATTCTCATAGCAAATGTGATGTAGAAACAAGCATCATAGGTTTCTAATATTATGTCCTAAGTTCGAATCTTAACATATTTTTCTTAAATTTTTCACAAAAACAATTATATATTAATTATTGTATTATTATGTATATACTATATTATTATTGTATATATATATATAATTTATTTCTTGATTTCAATTTTTTTATTTTTAATTTTTATTTTAAATCAATCTTTAAATTTTTAAATGTTTATTAAAATCTTTTATATGATTACATGATTTTTAAAAAAAATTTGTAGCTAATTTTTTTATAATTGTCCAAATATCTTCGATAAAATTATAATACATTTATCGTAAGTATAGATATGTCATTTTATTAAATTTTCTTAAAATTGATATATATGTCCATATATAGCTATATTTATTTTGTCAGATACATGAGCATTATAAGATTTAAATATGAATCCTTCGATAAAATTGATTTATTATTTAGTTGCTTTCTTGTCATTCAAAGTTATTCGAGAAGTACGATTTTCTAAAAAGTATCAATTTGTTCCAGAAATAACGCTAACCTTTTACGCGGGATGGATTTCTTGATCAATCATAATTCATGTCGTGATTTCTATCGACTTTATAATTCATGCAATGTACAGTCGATACAATCGATTAATAATGCAATCCGTGATTTTGATTAATTTTTCTGAAAATGTGTGATAATATTAGTATATACATTCCTGATAGTAATAAAATTGGTATATTGCATGTAAATTCAAATTTCGAACGTATATATTTTTCACAATTTTAAAATCGATTGAAGTAATTTTCTTGATAAGTTACTCTTTAACTTTAAAACTTTGTGGAAAAACTTTAAATTAAAATAATTTTTTTTTTTTTTCTATGAAAAATTCTGAGAAAATTATATATTCTTCACATAAGTATAAATTTAATTTTAATATTTATAAGTATTTCTTTTCTATGTGTAAAAAAATATTTATATAAATATCAAAGAAGAATTCTTATAAATGCAAAAATTATATCTACAAAAATATCATATCATTCATATTTTATATTATTATTATTAGATTATTAAACTATTCCATATTATTATTTAATTTTATAAATACATGCAGAAACATATGCTATTTTAATTACAAATTATGATATAAATGAATATTAAAAAAAATATTCTTAATCTTTTTAATATAAGATAAATGTACAAAAGAAAATACAGATTCGTTCTTATTGAAAATTCACGTGAACAATTGAGACTCGAGAATTCCAGAGAGATAATCCTTTGATAATTATTTTCAAATCGAATTGTCATTCGAAGCAGCTCGTATTGAAACGTAGAAACGATTCGCCGGAGAGAGACTCGTGAGAGAGGAGATCGAGAAGACCTGGCATCCCCGGTGGTCGATAAGCTACCGCTGCGACCTAGGCCTCGGCAAAGTTGCGCTGGTCCGGTTCGAGTCTGACCAGCTGACAGCTTTCTCTCTCCCCCACTTTTTTCTACCCCCACTCCTTCTCACTTCCCCCACTCTTAGATCGAAGCCGCCGCAACGCTTGTCACGACGCTCGTCGGTTCTTCCTCAACCCATCCCTCCTTCTTTGTCCCTCTCACGATTTCCTGCTTCTTCCTATCTACACTTCCATCGAGGAACCCTTCAGGGGGTAGATTTCACGGCCGACTGACACTTGTTGCATCTATAGCATCGACCAATGGCCAGCTATTTTTCGGTATATCGATGCTATCTCATCGCGACCCGGGAAATGTTCTGGACCTAGTTATGGATAACTCATCACCCGTATCCTAGTTATTTATGGCGTTCTACGGGTCAGGTCGACGAAACCTCGGTGACGGGATAAGCTGTATCGTTTCTATATGATTTGCCTTCACAATAATCCATCTTGACCATAAGTTAAGACAGATTTTATATCAGATTTTATCTGAATATGGATATAGATATAGAATGAAAGTGTAAAAGCTCTATATAGTAACGGGCAATAGTCTGCGTATACTGTTCATCAAGTCGAGCAATGTCACTGCATCATGCGAATTATACGTATATATATATATATATATATATATATATATATATATNGTAGTGATGCATGCTATATTTAGTCTGATACACACAAGTTAAAATATAAGCTAATAATTATACGCGTACTGTCTCAAAACTTATATTTTATCTCTCATTATTTGTGAATTATTTGTGAATTAAATAATGGAAATAATTTTCAAACTGTTGATAGATTGTATATGATGATAGATGGACTGTTTGCGGTTAACAATTGTTATTATAAATGAACCACAAAAAGTGATGAGAATAATGTTTCATATAAGCATAATTCACTTATCATTTAATTTTATTTTTATTACTAATTGTACTATTTTTTTTAGTACAATTATATAATAAGTACAATTATATAAAAATATTTTAACTATTTATATACCATGCATTTTTCTTTTTAAAAATTAACATTTTAACTTTTTCAAAAATACTAATACATATGAGTTTGTTTATTTTTTTCTTAATTATAATCCGTTGAAAACTTCGCAAAATTTTTTAATAATAAAAACAAAAAATTCGAAGCACTGAAGAAATATCTTATTTTATTTAACAATTATTATTTAGAATGTCTTTGATATTTTTCCCTTCTATATTTTTCTAAAAGAAAAATTTAACGGGAAAAAGATTATCTTTTAATTGATGAACCAATAAATAATATCAATTTTAGGATTTTATAAATTCGATTTATGTATTTTATTCCATATTCCCCAATTTCCTTCATGTAATAAAACAAATTTAAAAATTAAATTGATTTCGATCGATGCAGATCGTGATGTCAATCCCCAAGTTAGCAATCATCCCGGGAGAAGCGCACGATCGAGCTGAATCGAGAGAAAGGGTAACCTTCCAAAGGATCCGTCTGCCCGCGACCAACGTATGGGGTTGATATCGACCGTTCGAGATACTTCCCTCGCCCCACCCCTTACAGTGCATCCCCCACCATCCTGCAGCTGCGTATCTCACTCTAACCGCCGGTGGTAGCGCTACCCTCTCCGTCAGTTTGGATTTTCGAGCTGTAAGCACGAGCCGAGCGAACGAGTGTCATTTCGGCCCGGGATGCCATGCCCGAGGCCGCCGGTAATTCCTCCGGGAAGTCGTTCCTTCAACGGGCGTCGAGCAAGGTTCTCCGTTGGTTACGCCGCTCCCTGCGGACGAGCCACCAGGTGATATGATATATCTCGTGCCACTGTGTCCTGCATGCTGATAACATTGGTCTCCTATATTTAAAGTGTATACTTAATCATGAGAGTGAAACGATCTTTCAACGACGATGTTCTTCCTCTTTTCAAGGGAAATTGAAAGTCATTAGTGAATTCGTTCGCGTGAGTTGTACGACATCGAGACGTTCCTTCATCCATAGGAAAATATATATATATATATATATATAAGAATGTTGATATAGGAACTCTTTTGTGGTTTTTTTTTTTTTTTATTCGTATTTATATTAAGTTGATATATTCTATATCTACAAGAAACGGGTGAAATTCGAGTTTTATTTTATTTTCGTCGATGAATAGAAAATGACAGAACGAAAGGTGGGAGAGAGTGAGAATTCAAGTTTTTTTGAAGAAATATTATGTTGTACTGCCTCGATGTGAAATTATTCTCGCTTCACTGGGTCCAAGAGGATTCAGTGGTGGGGATGACTCTCGAACATACTATGTACGCAAGAAGTGCTCGAGCGAATGACGAATAAATATTATACATACTTCGGTTCTTTGGCCTACTGCAAGCATTCGTAATAATTTTACTAATAAAAATTCATCAGTTCATTTTTTTTTTTTTATACTTGATGAATTATCAAATTCAATCAATTAAACGGAAGCGCGTTTCAATTTTTTAGTGTGACATAATTTAAATGCATCGAAGGTCAAGATAAAAATTTATGCAGTATGTAAAAGTATGTATCAAGTCGTTATTAACTTATTGTTAGTTCTATAAATTTTTTAATCGATCCATTCTCATTATTTTTAAATAATAGTAAGAGATAAATATCACTTAAGAATGAAATATAATCTTATTTCTTATTTCATAATTATTATAATTTTTAAATTACTATTCTTCCATATTATGTTGAATTAAACAAGTTATAGTATATAAGTGATAATCAAAGATATAGTATTGGAATAAATTAGTTAAATTTTTTATTGTAATTTATTTCGTTTTGGCGGTAGTTTTGAAATGATTTCAAATCGTTTTGATATTGAACGAACATATTTTTCTTTTAATTTTTTACTGATGTATCAAACCTGTTGATATATTTCATAGTGTAATGGATTTGAATTTTTAAAAAAATTGATGTGAAATATAAATTCAATCTATCATCATTTATAATAAATTCTCAGAACTTTGTAATAAACATATTTATCGAATTAAACTATAATGATGACTCTTCATCATAAATTAACCCGTGTTAGAAATCATTAAATGACTGCTGACAGAATTAATTTCCCAGTAATGACCATACTGACGTTTCCCCTCTCTTTCATTCCTCGCAGTTTAATTTCCATTATCGTAAAAGAATTCCAGTATAAGCAAACCAAGACGACGAAAGGTGCAAATGAAACCAGTGAAAGGGAATGTTCCTGAAAGTAAATCGGCCTTGGTGAAATACCAATTCGATTTGTGAAATATTTTCGTCTTTTAGTTTCGTAAATTTTAAATATAATTAGTGTAATTAAGTATGTAATTAAATATAAATTAAAATGAAAATTCAAAGTATTTGCATTAAGAGGGTTATTTCATAATAACATTTCTTTGATAATTATATATTAGGAGAAAATTAACGATAAATGATGTTTTATATTTTTTCAATTTAATATATAATATAATTATTTACCTTTTTTTTTTTTTAATTCGTTTTCTACTTTTAATATTATTTATTTGCTATATGCTCGAGCTCTTCTTGTGGATATATAATTCTTTACTAGGAAACCTCCTAAGAACCAGTCAAGTCAAACTAAATTCAAGCAAAACATTGACCTTTAAATTTCTTCAAGTGTTTGGATTCTCAATCCCTCTTCGTTTTTCTCTATCTATCATTCTATATAGTCAAAGTCAATAAAGATAAAATTTTGTGTCTCTAACTGCTATATGCTCGTGACTAATCCAGAGTTTATGATAAATAAATACTATGTTAGGTTATGTAATGAATTCGTTCGCGCCAATGATTAATTGTCGTTTGTTTGGTGGGAGTACAAAGTAATGCTCTGTTATAAACTTTTACCGCCTAAGCACATAATTGCACTGTGCTGGAGCGAATCAATTGAAAGCATCAGTCACATGCAGAAAAAGAAGTTATTTTCCATATACGTTAAATGTCATGACAAAAATTATTGCAATTACGTTAGAATATTTTTCATATTGAATAGATTTATCTTATTTTTACTTGTTGCATACAATGTTTGCAATGTTTTATGCATTGCAAATTTCTTTTAATGTAACACATGAATCTTTTAATGCAAAAAAAAAAGAATTTTGTGATAAAGAAATATTCAATATTCGAAGGATGAAGAAAATTAAATTAGAATAAAATGCATAACATAACATTATTTGATTAATTAAATTCTATATATATATTTGCATAAATTTTCAATATTTAGTATTCCAAACAAATTTGTACGATTTAATATACAACTATCAACGATAAATTTTTATCTTAAGTTGAAATTTAATAAATTTAATAAATTTTAAAACCATATTATTGAAATGATTCAATAAAAAAATTGTGAAAAAAATTGTAAATATACATAATTTTGTTTTTTCATTATCTATATGTTTTGACTATCAAAAATAAAAGGATAATTTTTATTTTGAGATTCGAAATTGTCGATAGAATTCTTTTTTTAGATCTACGTAAGTTCGATAAATGGGAAGTAAAATAGGATCAAAATTTTTTTCGATCCAGAATATCTTTGGCATAAAACAATTTTCTAGCTCTCATGATAAACTCGAGTGCATCGTTTATTGAAGCGTTCGTGCAGAAAACTTGAATTAAAGCTTTCACAGTTTTACCTGAACCGAATTTTAAATGGCTATTTTTTTCTTTCGCTAGAAACTAATTTCTTTTTCTGATATTTTTTTTATTGAAATATTATTAAACAAAATACATTTTTGTTTATACATCGAATAACTACACGTTCGCATAATTGTAAAGTTAAACGTGATATTCTTATCCTAACATAACCTCTATTTCTCTATAATATTTTCGTCAACTTTCAATTGTTTATAAATAAAAAATAAAATTGAAAATGCAATTTTTTTATCCTTGATTTTCGCTTGAAAAATTATTTCTTAAATTTTTGAATATTCTCCTGGATAGTTGAATATATTTTTTTCATTTTATTTTTTTAAAAATACAATAGTGTCTAAATAAATCACAGTATCGAGATCGAGAAGCGTTAATTATCGAAGGAATAAAATAAATACTCTGAGAATTATTGAACAACTGTTCCACTTTCAAGAATTAGTGAGTGTGACATTTAAGCGAACAGAAAATACAATAGTTAACTGTTTTAAATGCACTATTATAATTGTAAAACTTGATCTCATTTTCTGTATTATTGGATCTCGAATAATATTTACATTTCACATTCAAATATCTATAAAGTTAACTTTATTCAATAAATAAATGAAAACTTGGAATAATAAATTAAAATTACATCTCTTTAAAAGTTTAGAAATTACATTTTTACATAAAATAAAAAATGTTTTATAAATAATTATGAATATAAAAATTTGTAATAAATGTTTATTGATATTAACAATTACTTTAAACAAAGAAAAAATCAATATATAGAAAAAAAGATAATCATTTTGATGAATCAAAAATTTGATTTTAATTTATATTTATTCAACATCTTTTTTTTTTAATCATCGTTTTTGTTTTAATATGTTTTAATATATTTTATCATTCAACAAAACTTTGGTTATAATAAATGTATTTAATATACGATATTTGATGAAAAACTTTTGAACTGTAGTGTACACATTTTAAATCAACTCGGTTCTCGATCGGTAAGATAAAACTGTCATTTTCTTTTCTGTTAAATGTATATTATTATCTAGAAAAGTATAACGCTTATGGTAGTATTAACTTGTCGACAGTATACATCGTTGCTCGAAGGTGTTGAGAGACTCACCTTCGAAGAATAAATCGATATTATGCAACTATCTATAATAATGTAAGCACTCGGATAGCCCTTAGATATTCGATTAAATACGATGAATTTATTAAAAAAGTATTAAAATTTATTGAATTTTTGACAAATTTATGACTTGATTCATAGAATATGAAAAATTTTAATTTCTATAGAAATAATATTTGAAATAATAAAAATTCGACATATTTTAACCACCGATTCTCTTCAATATTTATCTTCTTTATACGCTTAATATGATTAAAATAAAGATAAATAATTCTTTCTTTTTTTTTTTTAAATGTGAAAACCGATCTTTATATTTATGACTGATAAAAAATAAAATTTTATATCTCTGTTGACATTTCATCAGTAGCAACGGTCACAGAAAAGGATAGTAAAAAAGAGGAAAAGTAAAAGATAACGTAGCTTTTAAATTTCGACGACTAGCCTTACCTCTTCTATTCACGCTCAGAGTCACGGACCATTATCAAACTTGGCTCGAAACCGGTTAAGTCTAGTTTCTTTTACATTTATCATAATAACACGATTTATTCTTTTGGCAAATGATTTTCGTATTTCACCATCATCCTCAAAAAAAAAAAAAAAAGAATGAAAAATAAAAAAGATAATATCCTTTTCTTTTTCTTTTCACTTCAAATTGTTTTTATTATAATTCCTTTTATTATTTAATCTTATATTAAATTTATTATTATATTATTATTATATTACATTTATTATTAAAATTATATTAAATTTTTATATTTTCATTAAAAAAAACCAATAATCAAAAAATTTTCATCGTTGCACTATTATATTTATATCCACTTTTTTCACTGATGTGAGAAAGATTTATCTCACGTTTCAATCAACAATCGTAGCGCATCGCATCAAACGATTCCAAGGAACATTTTCTCTAACACCTCGATCTCTAAAGTTCTCACGTTTATCCTGGACGTCAATTTTTATCATCACCACTTTTATCACCAAGAATACTTATTTCGGTTTTTTGAAATCGTAATCGTTTCTTTTGGGTTAGGTCGACGGTCATGGCGCGGAAACGGGACCGGAACTCGACGAGGAGATGGAGAAGGTTTTCGCAATGGATACCGGAGAGAAGTTCGACGTAGCCCGACTCGGTTCCCCTTCAGAATCGGCTGGATCCGATCGAGAACGAGAACGCGGACCACCATCGCGATATGGAGATCGCGACTTCAATCGTACGTGATCTTGCATACATTTTTCCATCTTATTCTTTTTTTTTTTCTTTTCTTTTCTTTTCTTTTCTTTAACCACCGACAAGCTTTTGTAGCTTTTGTTCGTATAACATTCCAATGTCAATAATTCCTCAGATCCTCAGAGACAGAAAAATAGTTACGTAAATCAATTTTTCTTGCGATTCAAGGTTAAAACAATTCTACTTTCCGATGTACCGCGACATTATTTATTCTTTATATAATATTACGAAACGGTAGAGAATACTTACGATTTTTTTTTTTTTTTTTTTTTTTCTTTTTTTATTTTCGATGTCACACGTGTTTCGCGTTTGATTATGTAAGATGGAATAATTATTTAACCAAAGTTTTGCTCGCGGGAAAGGAATATTCGTTCGATGGTATTGTTTCAGAGCATCGAAAAAGAAGTTACCCCCATCCGCACATGCCCTTGAAAAGTCTTCATTCCAGGTCTATGCGACGACATCTTTCACCGTAAGTTCACAGCAAAAGATATCGAAGTGGAATGGTTCTGAATAAATTTTGATTCTTGAAAATTTCTTTTTTTTTTTTTTTGAAAAAGTATCTATGTTATGTGATACAAGAACGAAAAAATATAATTAAAAAAGTATAATTAAGTATAATTTTTTTTAATAGTTGTAAAGTTTCTTTAATCTTCGTTTGTTTAAAAGATAATTTCTATGAAATTAATTAATCTTTTAAATATTGCAAGAATTTTTTTTAATATCATGTCATATCTTTAAACGTATTCTTTTGACTTTTAAATAATTTTTATTATATTATTAATTTTCCCCCTCTTTATTAATATTAATGAAATGCTGTTTAACGATAATTTTTTTCAATCATTTCAAATTTCTTTATCCAAAATTATTTTTCTATATTATAACATTATTATTGCAAATTACTGACTTGCAAAATCAGTAAAAATAAATATTTTTAACTCATTTGAGAATCATGAGAATCATTGATCAATCAATCAAATTGAAAATTTTAATTAATCGTTTTTAATTAACTCAACTCTATCTTTTTTTTTTTTTTTTTTTTGATACTGTAAATACAACGCAAATATAAAGTATAAAAAGTAAATTTATCGCAACGAAATTAAACAGTTGATAAAATCTCGAGAATCTCACGTTCACAGCGAAGGATCCACAGCGGAAGCCGGTCAAGAAGAGGAGAACGGACAGGTTGTAACAGGAAATGGCGGTGGACATGAACTGGACACGATGGACAATGGATTGTCTCCGACGAGCATGCAGAACGCCGATGACGAGACCACGGAAGAAATGGAGAATGTTGTCAGCAGCGAGAGCGAGGCACCGATTTCGGAAAGGGCTGCTTCCGGTTTCAGCGACAGCCCGACCGTTGGCAGCCCACGCGTGCAATTCGAGAAGATCAAAGAGGAGGAGGTGCACAGTTTCAAAAAGGACGAGGTAGCCAGTGCCGGTGCATCCGCGAACCACGATGAGGATCGAAAGTGTCGAAGACATCAAAAACACGAGCACAAGTAAGTTTATAAGCTACTTGGTATTTTATGTGCGAAATCCATAAGTGCATAGGATGCACATATGTATGCAGAATTATTTAAAAATGTCAAAAGTAGAAGAATAGTATTCATTGAAATATTTAACGGATGAGGCAAGTCGTTTTGCCTTTTATTTCTTTGTCTATTTTATTTCATTTGTTATAGAAGTGTTGAATACAGACTCGTACAGAGAGAGCATATGATATGCAAATATATTTAAAACATCCCAAGTATTTATTATTCATTAGGATATTTATTTTAGAATATTTCATTAGTAAATGAAACTTCTTTAAATTCTATTTTTTTCTGTTTATGATTATATGATTTTGCATAAATATCTGCAGTCTAGCCATAAAAATATCTATTACCAATTAAACTATAGTAGCTTTTATATAGTGTATAAATAATATCTTATATAGTAGTTTTTACATAAATAGTGTGTTGCTAAAAATCAGAATTTCAAAGTTCCAATATGAATTATTATTCAATATGAATTATTAAGATAATTTAGAATTTGAACATCTTCATTGGTTACAAGCTTCTAATATTATATACTTAGTTAGTTAGTAGTTATTAAAAAATCGAGCCAATTGTGTATGTTAGAATTCTTAAAAATATAAATTAAAATTGATAAATACTATTGTTTTTTCCCTCGTACTACCAATTTAGAACCACTGGGCTAGGAGAACATTGGCACGTTTTTATAACATTTTGTTATAGGTATAATATAAAAATTAAAATGTTTAAATGTTTGCTTTAAATGTCTTATTACATAATATTATATCTTTTATAATTTTACTAAAAGCATGAAAGTGCATAAAATTATTATTTCCTTGCTTCTTTAATATATGTTAATTACTTACAAATATTCCAATATTCTATTAAAAAAATATCCTATATTTATTATACTGTATTAATAATTACAAATAATGTTGTAATGAAAAAGTCGATCAATGAGATAATTCAAAATCTTTAAAATTGCAGAGTAAATAAGTGAAAATCTTCCTTTTGCAAGATTTTGACAATAGCTTATTAAAGTATCAAAAGAATTTATAATAAGACGACCTTGCTTTATAATGAAAGATAATATTCTTGACTAATTTTCGTAAAGCACGAATCTCGATTGAACGCATTGTATTTCAACAATTATCTACACGAAAGTATTGCATTGCGGGTCCGATAGAGCTATTGGATAAATGTAGCGAAACGTAAACGCAACGATTTTAATGACATGTTCATGAGTTTCAAAGTTGATTAATACGTAATGATTATTGCTGTAGAATAAAGGGTAAGAATATGAGATATTATTTTTGTTCTCTGATCTAGGAAATTTCTTATGAAATATGCTAAATAAAATATAAATAAGCAAACATTAGTAATTGATAATTTATAAATTTTTTAAATAAAGATAAAATTAAAATTTAGAGGGTAGTAATGTGAGATGATAATTTTAAAAGAAATAAATTATGAATCCTATATTAATAAACAAATTTTTTAAACAAAATAACATACAAATATCAAATATCAATATTAATACAAAATAATTATTTTTGTTTTAAAGTAACACATAAATTTCATTCCGCATAATAAATCCATAATAAACATGACAAATATTATATATCATTGCAGTCATTCATTTTATTTAAATTTTAATTATTGTCGTACTGTTATTTATATATATATATATATATATATATATAGATCAAAAGCATGATATTTTATATTTCACTTTCTCTCATATTTCTACCATCTATTCCATTTACTTTCGATATCATCAAGTACATAGAAATATTTATTCGTTTAACTTCACAGTTAACCTTATCCTAACCTAACTTAACCTCAGGATCAGCCGTAAGTATAACTATATATAGTTAAGGACATAAAATTTCAATCCCTTTTTATCCCTGTCGATAATAAAGAACGATAATAAAGAATGATAGTTGACAAAAGACGAAGCAGGACCGAAAACCTAATATTTAAAGAAATTTATTTTGCATTGTTATTAAATGCCGTGTGAAACACGTGAAATTACTCGTTTCATTAGGTTCCTTCTCAATGGATACGAGTATATGTGGATACCGTGAGAAACATATAATGATTAAATATTGTACTGTACATGTTTTATTATCGTCCTATTTTCGTATTCTTGAACATAGGCACGTGTTGCACATGCGCGAACCACCGCGCACGAATCGTTTCGAAATTTAATCTTTTTGAACTTGAGTTTTACTTCGTTAGAAAATAAAGCGCGTCGAGGCCAACCAGTGACAGTTTCGATCTTCCTCGAGACGCTTTGAATGTAAGATAATTATACAATATTATTACGGAAAGAATTGCGAACTAGTTTACAATTACTCTCTAATATTATGGCCTTCGGCCAGAGATTTATCTTGTTGCCTTTGCATCAAACAGTCTGTTGTTCGAGGCCATTGTTTTCGCATTGTTCTAATTAATTTTGATCCCGTCTTCTTTTTTGCGATCATCAATAGTGTGAATGTTACAATGATGTTTTCGAATTTCGATTATCGTCCGGATCGCTACAACTTGTATATCGCTCACTTAGGACAAATCAAAAAGTATACATATTTCTTCTCCATTTCGATTAATTTAATTTAATAAAATATGCACGTGATAATGTTTTGTGTATCTGTGATCTGATAACATTGATTCATCTCATCGATTTTTAATTAATTTTCTATAGCAAAATTTTAAAAATTTTTTAGATTTTGTCAGATTTTAACCCTTGTTATTTTTGTCGTCTTCTTCTATTATTTATTTATTTCGCTACTTAATTCTTCTATTATTCATTTTATTCGCATTTAAGATAAAAAAAATTTTTCGATAAAAAAGAATAATTTGATTTTTCGATAAAAAATAATATTTGTTATAATTATTTATTGAAAAAAAAGTTTATAAAATATATCACTCATTTTATTAATATCAATAATAGAAACAATACTTTATAAATAGTAATCAATTTTTAATTGATCGATTTGTTCATGTATCATTTGTCAAAATTATTTAATAAGTATTAAATATTATTTTTACGTTGATTAAAATTTTAATCAAATTTTTACATCTGAGACTAATATTCACGACACGTGTTGTAATATATTGATTGATAAATTGACTATCCCAGAGCTACTGAAGCTAAAGAATTATAATAGCGAATATTTTTCAAAAATACATTTTACACGTCACAATCACGCATCTGTTCTTTAAATACTAGTCGTTGAATTCTTGACTAGATTTCGTTTTTCATTTTCATTATGTTGATGGGCGAGATTGCCAGCAAAAAGCACATATACAATTCTGGCAACACTTCGAGACAAGAAAGTGCAGCTATTATTTGTAGCAGTGTACCAATTCGTTCGCAAAACATAAATTATTTGACTAAGTTCTGAAACAATTTTGAAGCTTCTTATAGTAGATATTTATTCGCTAGACGCTAGAGATTTACAGGGATTCGAAAACGTAATTCGGGACGGATCGGAGAAATTCGGGTAAGTTCGAGTGAGATTTCGATAATTACGTATTGCGCAGAATCTTGATTCTCGCTCGACTATATAAGCATAAGCGGACAAATAATCGAATACAATTGGTTTGAAACATTGAAATTCAGCTTAATTAAGAAGATAAAATAGAAAAGTATAATTTATGCTTAATCCTTATATATATATATATAAAATTATTGAAATTAAAAGGAAAAATAAGTAAAGAATATAATATTAGGTTATTTATTGCCGAATTTTTTCGATTTCCTAATAATTTCAAGACTTAATCAAAATTATACACTTCTAACTTGGAATTCTTATATATTATATATTGAAAGCGTCAACAACAAGTATTGTTCTTGAATCCAATGAGCCAAGCGGATTTTCAATTCTTCTCCGTTTCTTTTTTTTTTTTTTTTTTTTTACTAGCCGTCGTATTCTATGGTGATCGTTATCAACAAAGATAAAACAAGTATAGAATTTTATGTCCTTAACAGTTATATACTCGCAACTAGTCCCTAAGGCTGTGGACTTCTAACGAATAAATATTACATTTTACGAGTAACGGAACATAATCTGGCGGATAATTGTAAATTGCAGAAGACATCATCACAAATCGCGAAAATACTCGCTCCAAGAGGATCCACAATGGAGAAAACGATCGGGAGCTGGCCTCCCGGATGGGCCGGGTGTGCTTGCAAGGCGAGTGAGCGTACAACCGGAAGAGGCAAGCACCCTTCAAGAACTGGACATCGACGACCTGGAATCGCACAGGAGCGACGATCCGCGTGGTATGAGGCGTCACAAGGCGGCTCATTCGACGGTCCAGATTGGCCGAAAGAAGGAAGGTGGCATACCCCATGACACCTTCAAAAAAATGTACGACCATTCTCCGCACGAGGTGTTCGTCCAATTGGACGAACTGTATGGGGTCGGTGAGGAAAGGGAGTGGAGAGAAACGGCTAGATGGATCAAATACGAGGAAGACGTCGAGGAGGGAGCGGACAGATGGGGCAGGCCCCACGTAGCTTCCTTGAGCTTCCATTCCCTGTTGAATCTCCGTAGATGCCTCGAGACAGGTGTAGTTCTCCTCGATCTCGAGGAAAAGGATCTCCCTGGCCTGGTATATAGGGTGGTCGAGCAAATGGTGATCGAGGAGCTGATTCTACCGGAGGACAGGCCGGTAGTGATGAGGGCGCTGTTGCTTAGGCACAGGCACGTTCACGATCACGATCGTGGATTCCGTTTCGGCGGGAAACGGAATTACGCCAGCTACACGAGCTTGCAGGTAATTGTTCTTGCCAGAGAGAAAACTGTTGCGGTTCCTTTTCAACGTTTATCATTAAGTGTGAGCTGCTCGAGCACAATCGCTGTTAAAGAAATTACGTGATGAATATGCTGTTCGATCTCGTTCGATATTCGAATATCGTACGATTCTCGATTTCCCCATTGAATTGAAACGTTGAGGGAACGATTAGGAGAAAAAAAAAAAAAAAAAAAAAAAAAAAAAAAAAAAAAAAAAAAAAAAAAAAGAAATGATACGTGCAATATGGTATTCGATATTATATCGTGAAAACGTTACCGCATGGAAACGCGTTAACGTTGGATCGATATATATTAGTTTGCTGCTAATTATGCGATATTAACGTTATTGTACGTGGTAATCGATTTTTAATCGCTACTTGCGTCTAATCCTTTTTAAGCCTTTATAAAATTAGAATGTTTGCGCTGAAAAGAAATGTTTTTTTTTTTTTTTTAATATCGCTAAAAAAAAAGTTTATCGTGAGAAATAATCAATAGAAATCCGTAGAGACGGGAGGCCTGACTGACGGTGTGTCCTAATGTTGTTTCCACAGTCCGTCTGTCTGGAGGAAGAGGACGCTGCGCGGGAAGCCTCTGAGAACCATGTAACCCAACATGTAAATCTCTCGTTTCCCGACTTAAAAAACGCAGAATTTACAACTTTTACCGCTAGTTTACGGCTTGCCCACCATCGATCATATACAGAGTGTTCAACGAAATTTTAAGAAACGATCCTTCCAAGCCAAAATAAGACAAGAAAATCAGAAACAAAAAAAAAAAAAAAAAAAAAATTGTATTCTCGACTTTGTTTTTTTTTTAATTTTTGACATTTAAAAATCGACGATTAGAAAAATATCTAATATCTTCTAAACGTTAGAACAATTGCATTCATCGATTTTTAATCGTTAATAATTAAAGGACAAAGACAATTGTGTAATTTTTTATTTTTGATTTTTTGTACTTATTTCACTTTGAAGAATCGTTTCTTAATTTTTTGGACATCTGTAAGCTAAGCACCCCGTATACATATATAGAATGTTAATATATTCTTGGAAAGTCTTTGGAAAATCGATTCTAGATACATAGAGACAAATATAAAAGAGAGAGAAGAGTTTATAAATGTTGATTGAAGTTTATTTATTAAATTATAAATTTCATTTTATTCCAAAACAAAACAAAAATAGAATAAAATGCCTCAACAATTATTATTATTAACAAAAAGATTTTTATTAACAAATGTATTAACAAATGAAAATTTTTTATGTTAAATATGAAATTCGTATAATTTATTATCTAGGAAAATCAATTTAATTTTGCTAAATAATAAATGAATTTTATAAAAAAAAATATTAAAAGTTTTCTTTTTTATATACTATTACATTAAAAATCTTTAAGCAATATCTTGAGTAAATTAAAATTTTCATTGCGCTGTAGCTCGAGGCTTGGCCAGACAAGTGTCGCTGCAATACGGTAGTGCTAACGTGCTTATGCGGATTGCCTATCTACAGGCGTTTCCAGCGCAAAGCTTCAATTACTTATAACTTTAAATAATCCACGATCGAAATTTTCTGCATACAAATAGTTTTTGTATTTGTTTCTACGGCTAAAATTGATTCTTTCCAATGTTTATTTATTGAATATATTAACACTCTATGCATATACATATACATATATACATATATTATATACCGATTTTTTCGCATTAACATTCTCTCGGCATGAACTTACAGGGAAATGAGTGTGTTTTCCCAACTTTCTTATCGCTTCCCTATCTTCTCGTTTGTGTGTATCGAGAAAACGTCTCACACGTGGATACACATATGTATATTATGTGGAAGAAATCGTTCAATGTCCATCTTCGTATACGGATATAGATATTATATATTGAGACACAATTAGTAAAATTTTTCCTTGTTGTTTGCGCGCATAAAACTATAGCGCTATATATAGTTAGTTTTAGGGATAGTATCGTAGGAGAATGGCAACATCGCCGGCTAGCTCGTAGAACCTGTACCTTATTCTGTATGATTATTGGTATATATAAAGTGACACCTGTAAGTCCATGGGTATATGTCGTCCCCCTTTTGGCTTACGTTTTTTCTTTCTTTTTTTCTTTCTTTCTTCCTTCCTTTTTTTTTTTTTTTTTTTTCATATCTATGTTCGGCAATTGCAATAAGCTTATTTAATATTAATTTTTGGTATTTGAAGTAGTACGAATACACGGATACACTGACTGACTGGTCGTAACGGTGTAATCTCTTTATCGTACACTTTGATCGTTACTTCGTGATTGCACTTTCATTCATTGGCAATTATCGAATCGATGCTATTTTTTTTTTCTCCCTCTCTCTTTCTTATTTGACTTTTTTTTTTTTTTTTCTCTACCCTCTCGTGTTTAGTCGTTCTCTTTCAACGCTCTCTCTGCCCTTTCTCCGTCCATATGTGTTTTCTCTCTTTGTTGTCTCGTTGTTGCATTACGCAGAGTATTCGATTCTTAAGTTTTAACGATTCGATTTCTAGAATTTTTTTTATTTCTTTCTTTACGGATTTTCGCTTAGTGTACGCCACTTGAAATTTAAGTAGCGTTTGATCCTAGAGATATGTATTTCTGAGATCGCAGGGTATATGCGATTTTTCCTCAATTTTGAAACAGAGAGGCGGATTCTGTGTAAATTTATTTTACTTAACACGATTGTGTACAGTAACAAGACTGGGAGATAAGTATTTCTGAGAATTGTTTCTCTTCAAAAATGAAGGTCCAATCCTTTAATATGGAGATAATTCCATTACAGAAAGTGCAACAGTTAATCAGACTTATTACTATATTTTATAAATGCAAATACTTGGGTAACTGCAAAAGATATATTTTCATCATTTGACAACCCATTATTGCTGTGTTAATTAAAAATAATCTAATTAGCATTATTTTATTTTTCAAGATACAACGCAATATCATCTTTTAATCAAGTTAAAATAATTATATATAAAAAGAGATGTCTTTGTAGAGATGTAGAAATAGTTTAATTATTATTATTTTAAGAAATTGGTAAAAATTTTAAGTTTCTTAATCATTTCAAAATCATGTTGAATAAAATATTCTAGATTTAAGATGAAATATTGATTGCAAATTTATTTTTGATTTACTTTTAATGAAAATTTTAACACAAGAAAACAGAATTTATAATTATTTATGTAATAAATAATGGAAAAATTCGTATGACGTACGAATATTGAATTGTACTCTTACTATTTGCAAGACAGAGAAATCTAAAAATTTTGATTGAAAAAAAATGTATATTTCTTATTATCTTTCACTGGTAAACAAAATCAAGCCAGAAATAAAAATCAATATCTCTTTTGAATAAGTGCAAAACTTCAATCTCAATTCTTTTCCACTTGATAAAACATATTCAACCGTATACAGTTTCTCGAATAAAAAGCGTTTCCTCGATTTCTCATTTTTGAAATGAAAGAAAAAAAATATCGCAAAGATTCAGCATCCGCCTCTACGCGAAGAAAATTCTCTCCCTCTCTCTTTCTCTCTCTTTCTCTCTCTCTCTCTATTTCTCTCGCTTGTCCAATTAGGGACGGAAATTCTTTTTTCTTTTTTCTTTTTTTTTTTTTTTTTTTTTTTTTAATAAACCTCTGCCTGGTCCAACGCATCGTATGCATACATTCGAAATCGGTGGACCCGTTCTTCGCGCGATACTAACTGGTGTTCCTGTTCACTGTAGAATCTAAACGACACGAAACCAAAAATCGTGTCGTCGAACTTGGCCCTGGACAGCAATCACACGGTGGTCGATATGAAGGAGGAAATGACATACACGAGCAGCAACGAGGATCTGAAAAAGAGTCACAACGATTACATATTGAAGAGGATCCCGGCTGGCGCCGAGGCCACGGTTGTCCTGGTCGGTGCGGTCGATTTTCTGGACCAACCTACGATCGCATTCGTCAGGCTTGCCGAGGGTGTGTTCATTCCATCGATCACGGAAGTCACGATACCAGTAAGATTCATGTTCACGTTGCTGGGGCCGAGGAACGCTGATCTAGATTATCACGAAATCGGTAGATCGATCGCCACCCTAATGGCCAATACGTCGTTCCATAAAGTCGCTTACAAAGCGAACGAAAGACGAGAGCTTCTTTCCGCGATCAATGAGTTCCTGGATGATTCGATTGTCCTGCCCCCTGGAGATTGGGAGAGGCAGGCGTTGTTACCTTTCAGCGAGTTAAAGGCGAAGAGCGAGGCCATCAGGAAACGGAAGGCCAAAGCGCTTGAAGAGAAGAGCAAACCCATTCAAAGCGAGGCAGCTGTCAAGAAAGGTAAATATATCTGTTATGCATCGCTTAGAAGACGTCCATTTGCTGGAAGGATTGGCTGTATTCCTGTAAAGAATGTTGTATCCGTGAACAATGTTTGAAGAATTGATTCTGGGCAGTAGATGAATATATAAATTAAATAATAAATCCAAAAGTTAAAAATGTTTGTTATAAGCAAGTTGAAGTTTGAGTTGAAAATGCCTGTAAGTAGGCAAATGTTAATGTTAGTATCGTAGTATTTTAATGTTCGTTTCTCGGTTAACAATTCAGCGATTGGATGAACGAAAATTTTAAACACGATTTAGTAGATTTAGTCGATTTTAGATGCAAGATATATATAACATAATAATGTAAAGAAAATTTCACTTAATTTGTTATTTAATAAAATTGAATAGTTTTCTTATATATGAACTTCATATTATCATAAAAAATTGTAGTTAAATTGTAGTTAAATTGTAGTAAATAGTTAAAATTGTAGTATTAAAGTTTACATTTGTATAATTTAACGTAACATATCCTTTCATATTATATATATTTCATATTATCCATTTATATTGCATTAAAGTTTTTAAATAGTTAATTTTATAAAATGATAAATATTTAATTAAGTGCACAAGTTCTTTATCCACAGGCATTTCTAGCACAAAATTAAATTTCTTATAATATAATAGATGAATCTATAAACTAAAATTTTTGCATATCAATTTCTATGTTTATTTCAGTGTTTAGAAACAACTTTTTAAAAATCACTTGACAATTGATCAAAATAGTCATTTCTATTATTCTGAAAATATAGTATTTCTAGCACAAAATTAAATTTTTTATAATATAATAGATGAATCTATAAAGTAAAATTTTTACATATCAATTTCTATCTTTATTTCAGTGTTTAGAAACAACTTTTTAAAAATCACTTGACAATTGATCAAAATAGTCATTTCTATTATTCTGAAAATATAGTATTTTTAGCGCAAAATTAAATTTCTTATAACATAATAGATGAATCTATAAAGTAAAATTTTTACATATCAATTTCTATGTTTATTTCAGTGTTTAGAAACAACTTTTTAAAAATCACTTGACAATTGATCAAAATAGTCATTTCTATTATTCTGAAAATATAGTATCTTTTGATGATGGGAAATTTCAAAGCATCATGTTAGAAATTGGCCTTCCTTGTTCTTGTGCAGGATTTCTTCTTGGCAACGCATAATAATGTAGCAAAAACAAATATCAAGGGAAAAAAGAACATAATAACGTAATTACATTTCATTTTCGTAGCTCTTCTTGCTGGCGAAGAAGAAAAGAAACCTCCCGACGACGATGATCCACTTCGAAGAACTAAACGTCCATTTGGTGGTCTTATCAATGATATCAAAAGACGCTACCCTTTCTATCTCTCCGATTTCACCGATGGTTTGAGTTCATCTTGTCTAGCGGCAGCCATTTTCATGTACTTTGCTGCCCTCTGTACAGCCATTACTTTTGGTGGCTTGATGAGCGACAAAACGCATAACGTCATCGGCATATCCGAGACCCTAGTTTCTGGTTCCTGGACTGGAGTAGTGATGGCTTTATTTTCCACTCAACCTTTAGTCATCATTGGTACAACTGGCCCTTTATTGCTCTTCGATGAAAGTTTGTACAACTTCTGCCTGGCGAATGAATTGGAATTCTTAACCGTGAGAGTTTACGTCGGAGCATGGATGGGAATCATAGCTCTAGCAATCGCCTGTGTTGAGGGATCCGTGTTGGTCAGACTATTCACACGTTTCACCGAAGAAATTTTCACAGGCTTAATTTCCATTCTTTATATCGTTGAAACGTTTATCAAGCTGTACAATTATTTTGTGAAAAATCCATTGCTTGATGAATATAGTTTTATTCCTGAGACGAATGAAACATTTTACGAAGAGCCATTAAATGTTACAGAGATCAACATTGTTTCCCCAAAGACTGGTGAGACAATTGGTATTCCATTGAGCGAACCTCAAACTTTGATACCAGCGCATAATCCAGCTGGAATATTGATAAATCAACCGAACACCGCCCTTATGTGTACCATTTTATGTCTTGGTACTTTTCTCGGTGCTTATTATTTGCGTATTTTCCGTAACAGTCATTACCTCGGACGAAGTGCCAGAAGAGCCTTTGGTGATTTTGGCGTGCCCATCAGTATTGTTGTATTTGCGTTGATCGATTATCTGGCTAAAGTAAAAACGGAGAAATTATTGGTCCCGGAAGGTTTAACCCCGACTCTACCTGGTAGAAACTGGATCGTATCACCCGCTGGAGTGCATAAACCTATTCCTCTATGGATGGCTATGGCTTGCATCGTGCCAGCGTTGCTGGTTTATATTCTTGTTTTTATGGAAACTCAAATCTCTGAGTAAATATCATATTTTCTTTGTTTGCTTTGCAAAAAAATTTAATTAATTATTTAGAATAGGAATTATTTTATGATTTTGATATTTTTAAAATATTCATTAATTTTTATTAACTAAATAACTTAAACTTTCATAATAGTTTAAATTAATAGATAAATATCATATTGCATAAAAAAATGTTTTTATAAAATAAACTAATCAAAATTTAATTCAAACTTAACTTGAAACTATTTCTTAAGCATAATTTTAACACAACTCATTACACAATTCATATCCAAGCTAAATTATTTATCTCACTTAAATCAAACTTATTTCAAACCTTAGAAATATTGAAATCGTAGTATCGATGATATTTTAAGATTAACAAAAAAAAAAATTAGATACATATAGCAAAAAGTTGTTCAAAATGATAATTGTATTATAGATGATTCCTATTTTAAATGATTATCAATTTTTGTTATACAATTCTTATTTCTTATTTTGTATAAAATAATAATTTGTTTGTAGGTTAATCATCGATAAAAAAGAACGAAAATTACGAAAAGGTAACGGCTATCACATGGATATAGTAGTAGTGTGTTTAATGAATGTCGGTTGTGGTTTAATGGGCGCTCCTTGGTGTTGCGCCGCCTCCGTTCGATCATTAACACACGTCTCGGCGGTGACAGTTATGTCTCGTACTCATGCACCTGGAGATAAACCGCACATTGTCGAAGTAAAGGAGCAGAGAGTGAGCGCTCTATTAGTTGCCGTGTTGATTGGCGTAAGTGTGTTAATGGCGCCACTTTTACGACGCGTACCAATGTCCGTCCTTTTGGGAGTGTTTCTCTACATGGGTATCTCTTCAACGAACGGCGTCCAACTGTTCGATCGTGTGAAGCTGTTTTTCATGCCAGTGAAACACCATGGCACGGCTAATTACGTACGACGTGTACAAACATACAAAATGCACATCTTCACCCTCATACAAATTTTGTGCCTGGCTATACTGTGGATTGTGAAAAGTACCAGGGCAGCCTTGGCACTTCCGTTCTTCCTGATTCTTATGATACCTTTACGAGGTCAGATGAACCACTTTTTTACTGCGGCAGAGCTACGGGCACTCGATAGCAAAGGATCGGAACACGAGAGTACCGAGGATGAACCAGATTTTTACGAGGAAGCTCCGTTACCTGGTTAGATAGTGCCTTATTCGACTTGTCCGAAAAATACCTCTCCTCTCTTCTCTTCCTACATTGTTTTCTTCCCTAACTTCTTTTTTCATTTTTTTTTCTTTTTTTTTTTTTTTGTTTTCAAAGAATCACGCTTTCTCCGTTACTTATTATTCTTATCATATATCAAAGCGATTCTATAATATTAGCGCAAATTCTTGAGAAAAGATCTCTATTTTCATGAAAGAGCAAATATGTATACCAATGAATTAAGAGAGGATAATGAATTAAGGACGTAGATAAGGGATAAATAAAAGGATTTTGATTCTCAACGGTGGTGTTAACTCGTTAAATTCGTAAAAATTATTTTGTACTACAAAATTTGTAAATAATCAATAATGACATTAGAACAAGATGAAATGAGAAAATGTATTTTATTGTGCATATATTGAATACATGTAGGTATTTGAATTATTACATTTTATTAAATTAAACATATATATATATATATTAAAAGTTACTATTTGAATTTAACAAGACTTACAGACTGATTGAAATTATGATAATTTTTTCATAGAAAATAATTTATTATAATAAAATAAAATAAAATATTCAATACCTACATTTTATCTGATATATTCATAATCAAAACTTAAAATTCGTTTCATCTATTTTCGATTTGATGGGATAAAAAGGTGCCTCTAGAGAACGGTGATGAACGACACATTGCTCAGGAAAAAATATAGGCGTAAAGGCACGAGATATGAGAGTGCCAAACGGTCATAAATTACAAAATGGTGCTGGTCCGTCTATATAGAGAAATAATGTAGACGAATTGAAAACTAAATCTTTTATAAGAAAATTGTCCGAATAGTTATCATTAGCTGTTCTCATCAATTAATATTATAAATCTAGTTTCTTTGGGACCGTGTAACTCATTTAGTGCGAAGAATTACAATCATTTAGCAATATTCAATAAATGTGTGTTTTAACATTATTTTCTTAGATGAAAATAATATTTTATAAATATCTCAAAATTGAACTTAAATTTTACAAAACTAAATAATAACAGATTCCATTATATTTTCGACATGTGTACTTAAAAGTAAAATTCATTATAAACGTCGATTATAAATTCATCTTTTTTTGAAATTATTCTACTTTTTTTAATAAAAACTTTCCATAAACGCTTTATTATATAAAAAAAACATCATATTCATAAATATAAGCCATTATATAAGACAACTCTTTAAATCAATCTAATTATTATAAGATTTAAAATTCAATAGTACGTTTTCATGCAATAAAAAATATTTACATGTTATTTATATTATATAAATACGTATTCTTTTTTTTTCTAAAAATTATAATATTATGATGTAATGAAAAAATGCCTCAATTTGTAATATTCTCTTTTTATTGTTTTAAAGAATATTTAATTTTAAGAAAAAAAAATATATTTGAATGATAATAAAAAAGGTACTCCCAAATATACATTTAGAGAAGTACCTGATAATAATAAAACCAAGAAAAAATAATTTTGGTTCGAATAATTTAAAAAAGTTTAAGCCATAATTACTTCAAACAGCGTTTATTTAAATTTATCACCATATATTTATTTAAAAATAATATATAAGCAAAATTAAAGAATTGTGAAGTAATCTTTTTTAAATGTTTAATTAATATTTTATTTTTGTTATAAGAATAGATCAGTATTGATAACTATTTTACGATAACTATTAATTTTACAATAATAATTATTGTTCCAAATGTAAAACTTCACATTAAACAAGACCAAGATATATAATAATGATAATAATAATGTCATCGTATGTTAAATACGTGCAATAAAAAAGAAAATCATTAAAATGAATATTTTAGATGCTATTATGAAAGAGAAAAGACATTCTATTTTAATTGGTTAAAATATTTTGCTAATCCGCAAGAGTACTTTATTAAAAACTCAACTTTAATCCTAATATTTACATAAAGACAAAAATATAATCGCATTACTTATTATTACTTATTTATACAAAAATACAAAAATACAAAAGCTATGAATCGAGAATATTGTGCTGCATAATTGTGATAGAGGTCCAGAATTATTATAAGAACAAACATTAGCAGTACTTATGAGCATATACTAAAGCATGAAGTTTTTAACACTGAATTTCATTAGATATATCTAATACATTAACATGTTATCATATACATACTACTGATATTACCTATATTGAAAGATTATCAAGATAAGTATGAATTGTTATGAGTTCATAAAAAAATTGTACATAATCTAGTTATCATACAGTATTAAAAAGTAATAATTAGTAATAGATTCTAGTAGATGATTTATGCCTTATATTAGACAAACAAATAAATATATTATTTCCTCTCTATTTTGTAACTTTTTAAAATTATATCCTTACAATACAAACATTTGTAATCATTATAATATTAACATTCTTATACTTTTGTGTTTATTCATTGTCATATGATTGGTGTTTACCTTTTTAATGTTTACTTAAAATTTCTGACATATACAAAGTAAAAAATATGTGTTTTCATTACATTGTCCTTAAATATTAAGAAAGTATATATTCTTAAATATTAAGAAAGATAAAAAGATTGTTCTTATATAATATATGCAGTATAAAAATGGCTTCACCTCAAAAATTAGCAACCAAATTTTATAGAATTTCACCACAGATATTAAAAAATGATAAAAGGTAATGCAATAGTAAAATAATTTAATGCATAAATTAATTCATTTTAATTAATATTTATACGTTATCATAGAATATACTTAAGTCCAAAAACTCCTATAAAAAATGTTTATAAAAATAATATTGGAACCAAAAACCAATTATCTCCTTTTAATATTGATACTCCTAACAGACAAAAAATATTAAAAGATGGCTTTCCTATCAAATGTGGCACATTTCTAGGAAGCGGTGGATTCGGTATTGTATATAAAGCTTTGTATAAAGGTAAAACAATTTTTTTAATGTTTTTTTAATTTTAAATGTAGCATATTTAAATATTACATATTGAATAGGTGAACAAGTGGCAGCTAAAATGATACAAACAGAAAAATATTCTAATATGTTAAAGAGTGAAAAACATGCTTCTTTCCTAAGACATTCCAATATAGTAAAAGTGTTAATGATAGAACAAGGTGCTTCTTTGTCTTTAATAACAATGGAATTATGTGGCACTACCTTGCAAAATCGTCTAGATGAAGCAATATTAATTAAAAATGAAAGAATTTGTATATTAAGAAGTATTACTTGTGCTCTACAATTTTGTCATAATGCTGGTATTGTTCATGCGGATGTTAAACCTAAAAATATTTTAATGTCTAAAAATGGTCAACCAAAGCTTACTGATTTTGGTAGTTCAGTGCTAATAGATGCACCAAGTGAAATTGATAAATTTTATGTATGTTTTTATTATATAATATGGTCTTTATTGCTTATTAAAAAGATTTTTTTCTTAGGGTACACCAGGATATACTGCTCCAGAAGTTATAAAACAAAATAGACCAACTCCTGCAGCAGATATTTATTCTTTAGGAATTGTAGCTTGGCAAATGTTATTTAGAAAATTACCATTTGCTGGATTGCATAGTCATACAATTATTTACCTTTCTGCAAAAGGGCATCGCCCTATAGATAATAATATTGATGATGAATTTAAAGGTACCTATAAAACATTATATAAACAAATGTGGTCACAAAATACTACTGAAAGGCCCACAACCAATGAAGTAATAACTAAAATTGATATATTAATTTCTTCTTAATGTTTATTTCAATTATTATCCTTATTTAATAGAAATTTTTATTATTCTATAGTAGATACGTATGAATTAATAATCAAATTTTGATTATATAACATATAATAAAAGAAATCATCTTTTACGTATCAGGCATTTCTCCACCAGGTACAAGCTGCAACAAAAATATTACAAATGATAATAAAAATATCACATAAAAGTTTACTGTATACATTTAACAAATTAATAAATAATTTGAATAATACTTATATTAAAGAAATTAATTTAAACTATTATTAAAAAAAAATTATTAACCATTGTGATATTGCTTCCATTAAGTAATATTTGATCAAGTTTGGTGACTCTTCTTCCTTCCGGTGTTGCTTCGCTTTCTGTCACATCTTCGAGTAACATATTTACGAAATCGTCAAAGCCTAACAAAGTGCCGACAATTTCTTTATCATTTTTCATAATAATATGTATCCGAGAACCAATACATTTGTCGACTAATTCTAAAATTTAATACAATGAAGTAATATTACGATCAAAAAAAGTAAGGTTAGAAATATAATGTAAACAAAACTTGTCTTACCTAAAGGCAATAGGGTTGATGGATTTGTACTGACAGAACTGGTCATAATGAAAAAGATAGCAAGATATATTAATTAATTAAAAATAAAAATAATACAGCACAAATTATTCTTTATTTCATCGACAAATACTCGCTCTATAATGCGGTGCATGGAAACACCACCGGCACGCCATCTACGTGAAACAGATAGAACAATCAATGTCAAAATATTCATTGTCGTATACCACAGATTAAATATAAAATAGACTTATTATCTAATTCATTTTTTCACCACAAATGATATATAATAGATCATGACATACAATGATAATATAATTTTTCATATTAATTAAAGAAATTTTTGTTTATTTTTTTATTTTTATTATTTGATGTTATTTATTTAATTTTTATATATTATAAGCCATTTGGATTATTTAAAACATTGAAAAAGATTGATATCATATAATATAAAGTAAAAACAAAATTTATTTAATCAATTTACTTCATTCTCAATAGATCAGTAAGAAAATTCAACATTTCTCAAAGAGATGGAGTAACTAGTCAAAATAAATAAACAAATATAAACAAAAATAAATAATAGAAAAAAAATAAAAATAGTGTAAAAATTGACAATCAATGTCATCTTTTGAATTGATAAAACAAAAACATTTTTTCAAAGATAGAGTAAATAATTAATTTTTGGTTCTATATTTTTAAAGATATTTAAGAAAAGACGCTAAATCTCAATTCTTATTTTATTTTACCTTGTCTTTGAAGAGATGTTTTTAAAATTCAAAAAATAATAGTGAAAATCAATTTTTAATTCATCTCTATTGTTTTCTATTTCCTTTTTTATTTATATAAATTTTATTTATAGTATTTTAGAGATAATGTTAAAAATATAAAAATATATATAAAATATATAATTTTTTTTCAATAATTTTTTCAATTCAGAGATATTAATAATAATCATTACTATTCTCTGCTTGACAATATGATTGATCTATGTTATTTATCTCATAATTAATATCAGTTAATTAATAATTAATGACAACAATTACAATAGTAATTACATTAATGTTAATGTAAAATTAAATTTTAATTTCAACTATTAAAATTATGTAAAAATTTAATATTTTCGAAATAGATAGTATCATTCAAGAAGTATTACAAAGTATTACAAGTATAACAAATTATTTATCGATAAAATGTGACGAATTTGAGCAACTTTTCAAGAGATGGCGCTATATTTTTATAAATCATTTTATATTATATATATATCATATTTTTTTTATATCATATTATATATCATATGAATATTTTATATATATTTTTATATTTTTATATTTATATAATATATAATATTTCTGCAATATTATATATAAAAATATATAAAAATATTTACGAAATATTAATATTTTTATTGCTATTTGATTCTACTAATATTAAATTACATTCAAAATACATTGAATTTTGAATATTTCAATAATCAAATTAATTTGCATCAAATTAATTAATCAAATTAAATTAAATTGCATCATTTTTAATTATATTAAAGCATATTAAATTTGAATTTTTATGCAATCGATATTTCAAAACGTAAAACACAAAATTCTCTAATATAAAAAATTTATACTATGCTTGCTGTATAGTGATTACATAAGTTGAGTTTAGACCAAAGATAATAATAAATCTATTATCTACATAGTCTATGCCAGTGTTCACTATGATCATATATACATTTATTTGTCATGTAACAGTTGCCATGTTGTTCTAGAAAGAAATATAGGGAAGTTACATACATAATTTTGCCAAACATGAAAGTCGGTAAAACAAGATTAAAATTTTGGACACTGGTTAAAGTAATATTATAATTGTGTACTATTAATTAGTTAAAAAATATTGAACTCAATAAATAATCGTATTGTCATATCTTTATATTTTTACTAAGTGATCTAATAATCTTATGTTTTGTTTTCATTATGGTGTAACATACTATATTCTATTGAGCAATGCGTGTATTTATTTCACAAAAGCTAACCTACCTAATCATTAAAGTTATGTTATATACAAAGTTATGAAAAAATAAAAAAATTCGATCCATATTACAATTTAAAATATTATATCTATTTATTATACGTTAAGGTGTGTTTATTTCAATGGCGTTAGAAGAACAACAAAGAGAAAGCAGTGATTCCAAAAATGAAAATTATTTACCGGAAAGAAAGGGAGAAGGTTGAAGAATTTTACCTGTAACCCATTTGTATTAAAGGAACATTTTATTCAATGTCAATATATATCTACTGCGAACGCGCAAGAGCGCAGGTACACGTATATCCTTTCTCGCATGCCCCTTCCTTGCGAAAGGACAAAGCGGCTTCGGTTCCCGTTACGGCAGACTTCGGTTGTGGCTCGTTGAAGAAAGGCGGAACATCAGAAAAATGTGTGCGAAGAGTATGCTAAAGGAGTATAAGAAATAAAATCGTGTGATGAGTGTCTTGTGTATTCTTATCGTTCAAAGTGGACAGTCCTAGGTACTGGTGTGAATCGCGTTCACCGCGCATGGTCTGTTGAGAAGAACCACCCTTCTTTTTCTAATTACTTTAATTACAAAGCGAGCCTATTTGGCGTGTGTATTCCGTGTCCGATGTTTCTTAAGAGATATAAGTACAATAGAATTCATCATAAAATTCAATGGACGAAAATGGCGACTTGAATTTTATCAACAATTATACTCGTAAATTGCTTTGTGTATGACCGATTGAATAAGTTCTTTTTGCAATTATTAAAATATAAGTTCATCCAAAATAAAGATACGTCCTATTGATTCTGTTAATGAACACGATATTTTTCTAATGGTATTTTAATATTCTTAATTCATAAAAATATATTTAAATCGAAGACGATCGAAACAAAAAGAGTAAAAAAAGTGATGAATTCAGTAATGTGTATTATCGTGCGAATAACGAATAGTTCATGCGGAGGTCCGTTACCTTTGCTATTTCGTGCGACGTTAATGCGTTCTTATTCTCATCAAAAATTAAGAAAGCGTATACCAATAATTTAATGGAGATTTTAATTGAATGTTATTATTTGCCGCAACAATTATGCCATCCTGTTTGAAAGATTATAAAAAAAAGTATTAAAGAGAAATCGTGCGCTAAGAAATATCAAGTGATGAACTAGAACGAAGAAGACGATAGGAATTCTGGTTCGTTGCAAAAGAAGAAGGAATCGGAAGACGTGTTCGTGGAAGTGGAAAAGGAACGCGAAGGTGCAACGAGGTAGAGAAAGAAGAGCGAAAGAGAGAAAATATCTCGGAGATGAAAATCAGTGGATCGTGATTCTCTAGGGAGTCGAATAAGAGGTAGTAAGAGGAGGCCAGCCCGAATGGGAGTAGCAAAGACTAGATCGTGGTCGGTTCCTTTGGGTTGTCGAGGTCGTGGCAACGAGGACGAAGGAAAAGAGGACGGCCGTCTAACCGGGTCGTGGAAAAATCGAGTATACAGTGATTCGGTGCAACGATGACAACGACAACTGGAAGGTACGGTGCTATGGAAATGAGACATTCAAGAAGCGAGGATCTACTCGGTGTGATTTCTGGCTCGCGATCTCCGAGTCCTAACGTGCCTCTGCCTAGTACCGCTTCCGAGGATGACCTTATCGCGGCCAGCGCCCTCCATGAGGCCACTGACACCACCATAAAACCAACGTGTCCCTTGTTGTCCTCGAGACCGGCCGGTTTTCCAGCAGATCGCATTGATCCTGAGGATTCTATCCGAGATATTGTTACTGAAAATGATCTCTACAGGTTCGTATGAAATTTTTCTTTCTTAAAATACTTAATGTAGTATTGCATCATTTGATTTTATGTATATAATCTCTATTGACATAAGTTTATATTCATTCTATTTATTTCAATGAAATCATTGATTTTTATTATCAGTATTTATATTTTATCTTTTTTTGAAACTAATTTTATCAAATATTATCAATATTTATATTTTTATCTTTTTCTTAAAACAAAAATCTCTTAATCCGATTACTTTAATCAAAAGATTATTTATGAGCAAGTTTTTTTGAAGTACAAATATGATAATAAAAAAATTTAAAAACAAAGAAATTGATAACAACGAATAGAATAAAAATGCATTATTTCTTGATAATTTATAACTTGTAATCGAATAATTTTAAAATCCATTATATTTTAAATTTATTAAAGTATATTATAAATATACAAAAATATAAATTATATATTATATATTTGTAATATTTTATATTATATTTTTTATTATTATATTTTGAAAAGATTGAAAAATTAATTGAATTCTACATTTTATATATGTTCTTTTTTAAAAATTCTACAAATTTTATCATTAGATTCTCATCTCACTAAATCCGTCACTAGATCGATTCAATTATGTGCATATATATACTGTAAAATTATTTCTCTATCAAGAGATAAGGCAAAAGAGAGTTTACAAGATTAAAATATGTAATATGTATATCTACATGTTTTTATCTCTTTTTCGATTAATTTCACAGATATTATTAAGAGTTTTTTATACATAATTCGTATATAATACGTTTACGTACGTAATACGTTTTTTGAATTTATACAATTATCAATTCAAGTCATATAGATTTATTCGATCTGATTCTAATTTAATAAATATAAAAAAAATTTATATATTATATATTTTTATGTTAAGATTTCTAAAAAAATAAAATAAAAAAATTTTAAAAGATTGAACTCCCATTAAGAAAATTTCCATTCGAATATATTTTTGCAACGATGAATTTATCATCGTTTGAATTTTTCGTTAGAGCACACGAACTCGTATAGTACAAAAAAAATAAAAAAAAAGAATCCGGTTTCCGGTTCGGTCGTCGCGTGTGTATAGCTCGATTTAAGTGACGAGTTGAATCATTGACGAACTATTCTAGTTGATTTGTAGACGTGCACGTGCAATGCGTATAGATACACAATCGCGTTTGAAAACGGAAAGCAAGGAGCGTTTCATTTTTTAATGAAGAAGGAGCGGCTTCCGTCCGTAAGGGCTTGAAGGCTCGTTCTCAATGAAAACAGTTTTGAAGGAAACTAGCAGCGACTCCAAAAGCCAGCAGGCGTCCACTTAAAACGATTTAATCGGTGCAATTAATCAGCT